CTTCCTATATTTCTTCTATACAGGAAAGAATTGTTACAGCAAAACAGCAAGCAGCCTAAATGAATCTCTAGAGAATTACACTAAGTGAAAAAGCCAATCCAAAAAAGTCACATACTATATGATTGCATTTATATAACATTCTTGAAATGACAAAATTATAGAAACAGAGGACAGATGAATGGTTGAAAGGGGTTGAGGAAGTGGATGGGACCTGAAGGGAAGTGGGTGTGGCTATGAAGGACCAATAGCCAACAACAAGGAGTCTGGTGGTGGTATAAATAAATGTCCTATATCCTGATTATATCAATATCAGTGTCCTGGTTGGTATCGTATTATAATTTTGCAAGATGTTCACCACTGGGGGGGAACTTGCTCTATTTATCTCAATGGCATGCACATCTACAGTTATCTTAAAATTGAAAGTTTAATCTTGAAAAAATTGAATCAATCTCTTAACCGTTTGAGAAAAAATCAAGCTATTCCCCTATTTCATTTTCGACATCAAAACTAATTCCAGAATGAAGAGTTAAATATAAAAACAGTTCATAGCTACCATTTATTGAGCAAATACTATGTGTCAGGTATATTGATCTATATTCTTGCTTCATCCATCCATCCAAACTTGTAAGAGAAGTTTACTGTTACCAGAGAAAAATGAGGTTTTCCCAGATTTATACATTAAAAATATTTACAAATGAAAGAGAAATGTACAACAATGTGTTAGCTCTGATTTGGATGAATATGATTCTAAGTATTTTAATTTCTTTCTTCTGTAACTATTTATATGTACTGGGTTGTCTGTAATGAACATATTTTATGTCTTTAAAAATTTTTTGAGGTTGGGCAAAGGTAACAAAATACAGAATTTTTGTCTAGGTCAAAGACTACTTTAGTAAGGATGTATGACTCTCACAGCACAACACAAAAACCCCAGCTTAGCATAAACTATATTTTAATAATTGCATCTAATTGCAAGGAATTGTTGAGACTTAATAATGTTTAAAGATGTTTTAAAAAATATCAAGTACCAATTACAAAGAAGAAACTTGGCAACAGAAGTGACTGAATGGAAGAGACACACCTTTTTTTAAAGGGTGGAGCTTGTAATTCTAATTACCTTTTTTCTCATAGCTGCCCTCTTGCAGGAAGAAAGACAGGCAGTCCTGAGGCCAGTCAGTCAACCACCATCTTCTAGGCAAGGGCAACCAGTGCCTGGACTTGGTGACAGCACTGGGGATGGGAAGGAAAGGACAGAGATCAAAAAAGCTAGGAAGGAAGTGGGTAAGGCTAGATGATTCATTAACAAGAAAGAAGAATGGGCACAGAAAAGCCAAAGTGTGATGTAATAGAAAAAAGAACACTAGTGATAGTCTTGGTTTTGCCATGACCCAGATATGAGCCTCGGGACAATCATTTTAAGAGACAACATTTCCTTGGCTTCGTTTTCCACATACCTGCAATGAATGGGTTGCTCTGAAATTTCTCAGATTTCTCCCAGATCTAACATTTTGAAGCTGGGTTTCCAGGAGGGTGACAGTAAACTTAACAGACATTTCAGGAAGGAATCTGATCCCAAAGGCTCAGATTTAGATTCTGACCTTGTTGTGTGACCTTGGACAAATTACTTAACTCCTCTCTTGCATCAGTTTCCTTTGTAAAATGGGAATAATAATAACATTGCCTATCTCACAGGATTGTCCCACATAAACCCGTAGGGAAGTTCCTGGCACAGTCTAAGTCCCAACAGATAGGAGCATTAACAGCAAGGCCATCCAACTTTAGAACACCTCATGGTCCTAGCACACAGACACATAGACCAAAACTTTTGTCAGAGCATTCAACTTGTGTTACCTAATATAATAATATGTTTCTGGAGGAAAGGTCAGATGTTTACGGGAATAGGGCACGTAGGTATCTAGGATTCGGGTGGCTGAGTCAGGAGACTTGGAGAGTTATAGGCTTCAGATCCTATTTCCTAAAAGTGAGTGCTAGTTGTCACGTCCACTCTTCCTAGCCCGGAACCATCACATCCTAATATTTGTCATAGGTATTACCCTAAAGAAACAGAACATAAAGATCTGAGTCATTTTGAAAAAAATAAGTGTTGATCCAGTAGCTGTAACCGTCAGAAACAAACGGCTCTGAGAACAACGGATGCGTATGCACCAGATGGAGAGAGCGAGCAACTGACCTCCCGGGCCTCTGCCCTATTGCCTTTACTTGCCGAAGCTACAACAGGAAGCGATGCAAATTTATATGCACACCTGGATTCCCTCCTTGCCCTCCCCAAGCCTGCCCTCACCTGAATATCATTAGAGAGAGGGGTGATAGGTCATGTAATGTTTGTCAACTAAAAAAAAAAAAAAGAAAGAAAGAAAGAAAGAAAGAAAGAAAGAAAGAAAAGGCAAAAAACAGTAACTCATTTGTGGGAGGAAAACCAAGTACAGGAGGGCAGAGTAGTGGAGGAGAGGGTACCAGCGAGGAAATGGTGTTTAGTGCAAATGTCTTGATATTAAAATCAGAGAATAATCTATATCCAATAGGGAAATTTTTGTTATTATTTAAAATTTACTTATTTAAATGTTATTATTTAAAATTCAATAATTTTGTAAATTTTTGTAAAATTCATCATTGGGAGGCCAACTTTCGATTTCAGCTGAAATGAGGCTGCCTGCGTCAGGCCCTCTAAGCTCCACACAGAACGGCGCTAAGGGTACTTTCTAGTCTCTGCTCAGGCTAATTATCTTGAAGTTCCCCTCAACTTCACTTTAATGGCCCCCAAAATTGCAGGTTTGGAAAATTTCTATAAGAAAAAGAAAAGAGAGGCAGTTACATAATTCCGGTTTTTTGTTTCCCTCTTTAGTGGCAAAGAGTATTTTTGTGCTATCACTGCTTTTTAAAATGTTTTCATCGTTCTTGAAAATTATATACCAAATAGGCAGAGTGGTTACATCAAACCTTAGTGTCTCTCATTAAAAAGCTTGATAAATGAAAAAACTGACTTAGTGTTTGTGTCCTCTGACCACCCAAAACAGAGTAGCTTCCCCTCAGGAGTTAAAACCCAGCCATCATGAGCAGGCCACCGTGAACACTAGTTCTGAGAAACACACTGAAATTTCTTACCAGCTCTCTTGTTCTCTACTAATGTTAGCAGAGATGATCTGTAGTTTTGATTTTTTTTTTTTTTTCGCTGCTCACAAGCAAAGGTGTCAAGAGGAGGGTGGGTGTTGGAGAATCATTGCACTTTGTTCTTGAGTTCAGTAATTTCAGTGGTGGCCTCCAGCCCTTCCAGTAATTTTAAAAGTGCCCATTGCCCTGTATTAAAATTCTTGTATTCTTAAGATACCTGGAGGTGTTTCTATTTCCAACTCTGAACTTGACCTGATGGTTGATAAAACTCAGTCTAAGACAGAGAACCCCAGGGGATGGTCCCACCACAGCATTACACAATGAATTAAAGTTTTCTGATATGTAAAAATACATACTGGAATTGGTTATTGGGCCACCTTACTTTTTCTAAGTTGGGTTTTTTTTTTTTTTTCAAAGATTTTGTTTATTTATTTGACAGACAGAGATTACAAGTAGGCAGAGAGGCAGGCAGGGGGAGGGTGAAGCGGGCTCCCCACCAAGCAGAGAGCCCCACGCAGGGCTCAATCTCAGGACCCTGAGATCATGACCTGAGCAGAAGGCAGAGGCTTAACCCACTGAGCCACCCAGGCGCCCTTCTAAGTTGGGTTTTTAAAAAATATTCATTTATTTGAGAGAGAGCGTGCCAGCGTGCTTGCGCATGCGCATGGGGCAGGGGTAGAGGGAGATGGAGAGAGAGAAGCTCAAGTGAATTCCTGGCTGAGCGTGGAGCCAGACAAGGGGTCCATCTCACCACCCTGAAATCATGACCTGAGCTGAAATCAAGAGTATGGATACTTATCTGACTGAGCCCTCGCCCTCTCCCTCCCCCCGCATCCCTAAATTGAGTTATTTTTGTTTATGTTTCTATTATTCCTATTTTCCTAAGTATTGACAAATCAGTGAAATAAACACAAACAGCACAGTCAGGAATTCTTAACTCTAAAAATGGAATTTTTCTTTATGTTCACTTTTTTGTTTACTGAATAATTGAAAGGAGATGATATTTGTGAATCTTGGTAAGAATGGGGAGATATTTGACTAAGAGCTATAATGTCAATGGTCAGGTATTTCCTGATCATGAATAACTTGCCTGGACTTTACGGAACACAATATGTTGTCACTTCTCTGTTACTGTGTTAGTTTCAAATGAGAAAATTGAGACTCAAAAAATTTTAGTCAAGATAAACAGCAAGCCGTCAAGTAAGGATTCAAACCTGGAATATTCTGGGTCCAGAGCATGCCCTATCATAGAGAAGCTCTCTGTCCATATTACCCCTCTTTACTGTACTTCAGAGATGAAGCCAAAAAAATTGTAGGTAGCATTATGTAGTGTGTGTGTGTGTGTGTAAATATAATAAATACATATGTAAAATGTTATGTATATGCATATGTGTGTGTGTTTGCATGTGTGTTTCTTGATTAACCTCTGTGATTTTGTCAAATCCTGACCTTCACCTTTGGAAATTGCAAGGAGAGAATGTCATATTGGGGCTTAATCCTCCAATTCTCTTTTCTATTTTTATATTATGTGTATAAATTGAGTCACTTTAAGCCTGAGCTCACCTGACTGTCCTCTTTACAGCTCTCTCCCCTTTTTGAAACATCAGTTTTTTTCTCTTTCTCTTCTTCTTTACCCCTCACTGGGTCATTGTTTTTTGGTATCACATTGTATCAAAAGCCTTCCTGAAATAGTGCAAGTAAATTCTCTCTTCCTTTGCTTTACCTCAAATCTCTTGAAGGGCTTCCATTTTCTGTATGGTATTGTCGTCCTTAATCACTTGGAGGCTCTTCTGATACAGCCTTATGTGATTTGATTTTTTTGTTTGTTTGTTTGTTTGTTTTTTTACCTTCCTGCTTTATTGTATTTGCAGGCTTAGTACAGGTGTAACTATAACGGAAGCAGCTGGAAACAGAGCCAGAGGTGGGGGTGGTGAAGCAGATTCTGAAACTGGTGTACCTCAAGCTTGAAAGTGATTGAACGGCAACAAAATGGTAACTCTTGTTCCTTTATTTCTCTTCTGTTACTTGAGCAAGTTGGCTAAGGAAGACCATCTATGGGGGGTTGTGTTCTGTTGTTTCAACTTACTACATATGTTTAAAAAAAAAAAAAAGATTAAAGAAGACAATTTAGGTGATACAGATGAACTTTACTTACATTCCAAGAAGCAGACAGTCTCCCTTCTAAGAACTGCAAAATGGGGCAGAAGCTTTTATAGAATAAAGAATCAAGAACAAGGAAGAGAAGAAGAAGAAAGATCCATTTGACTGGTGCTACACAGTCAACCTTGTTTGGGGTGAGAAGGCCCAGGGTTGGCTGGGTGCATGGGGACTGGCTGACTATACTTTGTTTCTGGTTAAGCTGAGCATTTACAGGGACAGGAAAGTTATCTAAGTTTCTGTCTCTTCACATGGCAGCCTGGGCAGGAGTTCAGCCTCCTGGACAGGCGTTTCTAGGCTCCAGCTGAACCTAGAAAACTATTTCAACACATGTGATTTTTTAAAAAAATCATTAAATAGCATGCTGTAATGTTTTTAACCAAGTGGCACTCTGTAAAGCAGTGTGAGAGGCATTTATATCTACCAGTATTAGATTCTGTTCCATGTGTGTCTTACCTTTCCATCTCCCACCCAGTTCGAGCATGAGAAAAGATTAAAAAAAAAAAAAAAGGGCTGTCAAAAAGCCAGTTGGCAAGTCAGAAGCATGCAAAGTAGGGAGGAATAGCAGATAGATTAGATGATGGGACCTGGACCAGAAAGACCGCAACAGGCTTGAACTATGGACAAGAAACAATAAGAAAAAAAAAAAAATAAGAGTGATTCAAGTAAAGACCTGCATCCACACACAATAAAGCAGCTACTAAGGGTGGAGGAGATTAACATTCACTGAGTATCTTCCTGGGACTGTGCTCCCTCCAATGTGCTTTTCCTTGGGTTATCTAGTAAATTATAGGAAACTCACACCCTTGGAGTATGGTTTTTTCTTAGTGGGGTAAGGTAATGCAAAATTAAGGAGCACAGAGGCTGGCTAAATCTAGTATATTTGAATTCACATTATGAGTAGGTACATTATTTGGGGGTTTTATTTTAAGTGTGAAGAATGGCAGGACTTTGAGGTTTCAGTGAGCCCTGTATTGCTGAGGTGGTCATAGGTAGAATGATGGCATCTAGAGCTGATGAGAACCACATTGTCTTCTCTGCCAAGACCACATCGGGAGTCCTGCTTTGAATTCCAAAGACTATTCTGTAGGTGAAAGAAAGGCAAATAGGACCACCTTCAGAAGAGAAGAGAATGGGGTACAAGTTCCAAAGTCACTATGAATCATGTATGGTCAACTTTATCTTTGGAAATTCCTTAATTTGATTTTATATTGCCGGCCCCTAGGTCATGTAAAGGACAAGAGCCAAAAATTAACTCCTTCTGTTGCCCTGTGTATGTTGTCTATGAGTTCCCTTTCCCTGGTTCACTCTGAATCATTGGGGAATGGCAACTGTAAATTAGGGAGGGAAGGATAAAAGAATTTCCCCCAATACTGTTGTTGTTGTTGTTGTTAGGTGCAACACAGATGCCATTGAATTTCTCTAAATTAAATGAGCTTCTGGTGCAACTCCGTGGCTACCAGGAGAATAAGGCAGGCTCAAAACCATGTCACATAACTCAAAAAATTAGAGATACTGAGTCTTAAAGCAATATAATCATGGAAAACCCTATAATTTACCTTAACATATTTGGAGGAATATCCAGTGAAAGAGGAATTAGAACAGAGCTGGTCGTTCTCAAACAATTACCAGTTGTTACCATGACTGTCTGGAGATCTATATTGAAAAGAATGTGAGACAACATCCAAGGTCAATGAGAAAGAATTCTACTTGACAATGATGTCCATCCAATGCTTGAAAGAAAGCCAGTGCCCAGGTGTTGCATGTGATGGAAACAGAATGGCTATAGATGACATATAATGAGAGCTTGAAAGAGGAATTCACATGAGGTTGGGAATGCTGTTTTCTGTCATTACACTGAGAAGTCAAACAAGTTAGTCTGGAAAGAGAGAATGGGAGAGAAAGAGAAGAATAGAGCATATTTTCAGAAATGAGAAAACTTACCACTCTCAAGAGTCTCCTCCCTCACTCCTGGTAAGTTTCCACTTGTCATTCATTCCCTCATAAAGAAATCAGTGCATGCTTGCAGTAAATTTCCCTTTTTGGCTTTAGCTAATCATGTAGGTTTCTGGCTTTTGCAATCAAACACTCCCTAGAGGCTTATGTCTGAGTGGGGGCATATTTCAATCCCATTTAATTCAATTTAACCAATGTTTATTGAATGCCTGTTATGCTCCTTGTGTTCAATAATTTGGGTCAAGTTATGAGCCTGGCCTATGACTGGAATCTATGAAAGATTCAAAGGGAAGAGCAGTCATAGATTATGATGAAACATAAATAAATTAAACAAGACAGAACATAATGAGAGTTCTTGGTCTTCCCACCCAGGGTGTGTGTTCTGAGTTGTCTTTAAATTCTGTCCAGCTCATGCTAGTTGGCAAGAGGTATGGGGGGCAATGGCTTACACAGCCCTTTTTAAGTGCAAACCTGAGGGATGAGAGGAAATTTGACACAGGAATTAACAGCCAGCAGTGGGGCTTTGTGAAGAACACAATCCAGTGAAGCCCTTTAATTATGCAAGATCTTTAAAAAAAAAAAAAAAGTTATTCAGACACTACTGCCTTAAACTCTGAAGATAATAAACTTCACTTAAAGTCCTACATGGATTCATCATCCAATGATGACTGAGATACAAATAGAGCTTTTTGCCCACAAAAACCATTACCAAGACACAGCTGATTAAAAAGTTAACCAAAACCCCTATCCCAAGTTAGAACCCTTACCTCTAGGAAGAGACTGATAAAATAATAAACATACAAACATTTTCTGTTTGTGTTCTGACTGCAAAGTCCAAAGCAAAGGAAACCCAAACCAAGTCAGAAGTCGGGAAGGAAACTCTTTTCATTGGCCATGAGCAACCAAAATTCCTCTTCAGTTAGCTGTGCTCTAATAACTGACACCAGGAACAGTGCCACTGCTGTCCCCAAATCAAATGTCTCCACTGCCACCCCCACCAGAAAACAGATTTGACAAAACTCCTCATGCTCCTTGGTCTGAATTGAAGTCGTTGCACAGCGTTATCAGGTGAGTAGAGCCTGGGTAACATGCTCGGGCCCTCCCTACGAGAGATGCTGGAAAAACAAGCTACCGTCTTTACTCATGAGGTAGCAGGGCTCAAAGAATGGGACATTCTCCAAACTCAGGAAAGTTGTGCAAAAGGTTCTAGTCAAGCAAAAACATGCCAGTGTCCCTCACATCACCCAGAGGATTTATTCCTCAGACCTCAAATTCAACCAGTTAATAACCGCATTTGGTGAAAGTTCACCAGCTGTCCCCTGAGAATGATTCTCCCCTTCTTCTTCTTCTTTTAAAGATTTTATTTATTTATTTATTTGAGAGAGCAGGAAGAGATCGCAGAGAGAGAGGGAAAAGCAGACCCAGCCACCCCTCCCCTTCCTCTCCTTCGAAACCAGCTTCCCTGTTCTCAGGACTGTTCCTGACAGCAGAGCCTAGGGGCTGGGTCTCGCTTACCTCAAGTCAAGTGGACACTGTCGACACCCTGCAAAGAAACTGCTTAGTACAATGGCAAATAAACCTTCTGGAATAAACCCTGAACGTCACATGAGGTACTCCCAGCCATGACCAATACCTATAAAATGTTTCCTCGAAGAGTCTGGCAGTATTCCGCAGATAAGTTTGTTTCTGACAATCGGCTACTCACGTACGCTACAATAGAGGGCTGATCATTTTTATTTCCACGTAACTGTTGATCTTGGAACGTGGGATGCAATTGCTCATGATTAAGAAGTATCTGAAACGTCAGAAAACCTGGAACAGGGATGACCCGTGTCCATTTTGGTAATCCTTTTGGCAGAGGCAACAGGAGCATTTGTCATTTAATCTACTTCTATATTTTAGGAAAATTGAGCCTGAGTCAGTTACCCAGAAGATGCAAAGGAACTCGGCCTCGCGTGACAGATTCCACATGTTAGCAAAACACTTTTCACTCCCAGAATCCCTGAGGAAATTAGGAAATAATGACATGGCTCAGTCTAGAAATTTTCCTCAATGTGTATTAATTTAGTATTTATCTTAAAACTATATCTTCTCCTTTTTTGAGGGAAGACATTTAAATTAGGAGATTTTTTTCCCCCTGAGGCATGAATGTCCTTTAATTCAAAATTAGAGGAAGAGGCTCCATGAAGAACACTGAGGGCTTTGTGATGGCAACAGGAAAAGCCCGAGAAAAGAGAGAACCTTGCTGAAGGATCCATGCCTGAGAGGGAAGGGTGGGCTTTGGTGGGGGAGGGGGGAGGAAGGCAAAGAGTGAAGAAGATGAAGGAGACCTGGAAGTGACTATTATTTCAAGAGATGGCCCCGATAAGCTTATTGTAGAGCATGGAGCACGGTCAGTGACCTTTAACTGGACTCAGGTTACATTAGCTGTCAGTATTCAGTTGCCTCAGGAAGGTCCCAACCTTTTGAAAGATTCATACAAAGTAGAGCTCAACTGAAACTATGCCTAGGACGGCATTAGGGTTTTCACCTGTTGCGTCCAACATCCAAATAGTTACTTAGGGCCACTCTGGCTTCCACTTGCTATGACAAGTAGGACGTTGTGGTCCCCAGCTTAAGCATAACAGTGCTGGATGCTCAAATAGAGACAGTGATTGTCTCAGGGGTGGGGAGGTAATTGAGGGGGAGAGAGAACGGGGATCTACGGGATGACTTTAATTTCACCGAGACGGTTTCTCTTTACATGAGCTGTGAGCGTAGTCCACAAAAATGTCATCTTGAATAGTTCTATTTTTAACAGTTTCTTCATTTTGTTTGGTTCCCCCACAAGAGATGCCATCTCGTATATTTTAAATCTCCTTTAAAGAATCTAATTTTATAGTGCCATCCAGACCAAAAATATGTCAATTTAGTGAGGGAGGATATTTAATTGCTTCAGAACATCCACATTTTGAAAAATAAACATGTTTCTTTTTCTCCTTGGTCAATTTGGCAGCACAATGTAACTTATTTGTGGCTGTTATTTGTCTCCACAATTTCCCTTAATAGTAGGTTTCACAGTCTTTATGTTCACGAAGCATTTCCTTATGTCTGGACCAAATCCCTTTTTGCTCTAATTTGAGGCCAGAGACTCTGTGGAGTTGCTCACAATTGTCTATTGAATAGACAAACACTTGGAGTTTGTTTTGAAAACTCACTTCAGCCTTCTCTTCATCAGGGTAAACAATTCTCATCTTGCAGCCTTTCCTCAATAGCGCTATATAATGCGTCCACGATAATGTGCTCATGTACAAAATTGGATGCAGTTCAACAAATTCAGGACTGGTTCAAGAAACGCAGCACAAAATTGACTTGACTTAATCCTATTATCCCTCATATTTGAATGGTACTTTAATTTACAAAGTACTTTTATAAACAATAGCTCATTTTCTCTCCATGACAGATCTGTGAGATGAATATTATTTTTCTTTTCTTTTTGTCTTTTTCCTGACAGAGGAGGCCACAAAATCTCAGACCACACTGCCAGTCAGTGGGAAAGCGGAGATTCAAACTCACTCTTCTGAGCCAAGGACCAGGTGGATTTCCAGTACCCAGCAGCTGCCTACGGTGGGCAAGGCTGGTGCAGGGTGTTGCCAAGGATCCCACCACGAGTACTTGATTCCCACAGGTCTGTTCACAGAGGTAAGGGAAAAGGTCTTGGGAAAGAAGTGGAATGAGCTGGGCTCTGAGGGTTAAGTAGGGTTTGCACAGGTGGAGAAGAAAGTTAGGAACATGCCGGGTTGAGGGGATCTGCCCATGTGAAGATACGTTGTCCAGGATCACTGTGTCTTAAGCTTATCTCTCCTTAAGTAGAACGCATGCTTCGAGATAGGATAAAGTTCCATGGTTAAAGACCAGGGCTAGGAAGTCCCAGGGGCCTGGATTTCAATCTGGATTTCACCAAGTACTAACTTCTTGGTCCAGAGCCATTTCCTTCATCCTTTCTTGCTTCATTTTCTCATCTGTAACATGGGAGGATTAAGTGTATTCATTCATGTAAATACACAATAAACATTAGCTATCAATGAACAAAAAACACTAAAGAGAATAATTATAAACAACATGCAGTAGGAATAAAGGGTAGAGAGATCTATTTCTAATTCATGTCTCAGAGTATTTCATTTCCCAAAGACATGACATGATCCAAAAGCGTTCCTATCCTTGCCCCCAGTGCCTTGTGCTAAAGTGTAAGAATTTACACTTTCATTTAATAGGAAAGGAACTGAAGAATAATTTGGTGGACGAACTTCTTATCCCTTCCACAAAGATAATTTTCAGTTCTCACTGTTACATATTCGTGAGTTCAGTGAACCTAACCTGTACCCCCAAAGGATAAGAAAATAAATCACTGGCTCCATTGGCCTAAACTGTCATTTACTTTCTGATTAGAATGCAGGTTGTAGGTAATTGTTGTGCATGATTTGCTCTTTATGTTTGTATGACTAGTTCTATAAAATTCACCTCCCACTGTATCCCCTATCCTGAATTTAGAAGTAAAGGAATACAGTTGGAGTCACAGCACACTTAACGAGTATTTGAG